TTTCAAATGCATTTCACATTTTTACCACTCCGTATTGGGATTCTGTGGTTATCTACTCTCTCAATCGTATACAAAAAATTCGTCGTGGACACGAGGCACCATGAAATCAGATAGAGTTTGATAAACCGGCCAATCACGCATTCATCAAGCCCTGTAGCTTTCAACATTAAGTGCAATTCAGATGAACAGGAAGATGAAGTAATACACACACTCTCTCTTTCGAGAGAGAGAACACAAATTTTGGCTTTTATTGTCTTTTTTTCCTAATTTCATTTCAAAGTTTTTTTGGAATTCATTTCATTTGTGACTGTGCACCCAAATTGCAGATTCTGAGCATTTTATCTTCCCCGCCTCGCCCCCTTCTCCATTCTCAATGATGGTTATATGCCAACGGAGGTCATTGGAATTTAGCTGTTGTGCCATTTGTATCGCGCAAACGGTTGTTTGTTTTTTTCTCAGTATTTACAACTGCCCTTTCACGATATTTCCTCTCAAAGTGATCACAAACTGGACAAATCAAGCTCAATCTATGCTCATTCGTTCTCTCTTTTTCCAACCCGGTCTACTGGTCTTCTACCCTGTGGTTTTCGCTTCTCTTCCGCCTTCACGCGGGCCATTTCTCCGGGTCTCGTCCCCGAGAGTGCACAGAACTAAAACTCCCATTTCTCACCACGGTTCGGTTCTTTTGTTTTTCGAAACACTTGTCCGCGTTCTTGGCTCCAAGTCTTTTCCACGGGCAATTCTCTATCTCGTAATTCCGATTCCCATCCGTTTGGTCTGTGTGTCACATTGATTCCCATGTGAACGTCGCATCCTCGAAAAACAACATTAAAAGCCAAATCCAGTACAGGGTTTTTCAATGTTATTACTACTCGTGGGTGGGTTGTGAGATTTTTTCACTGCGTTCCATATGCAGTAACTGCTTGTCTCGGGAATACGGTTGCTTGGACCACACACACATGTATTTCTCCTCTTTTATCGATGGTTCATTCTTAAACGTTTCGATTCTGTCACGTATCACATCTGGTTAATCATTCTTTGTCGAGGAACAATCCAATAGTCATGGGAATTCCCTGTCTGCATCCCACCCGTGGTTGTTCAAGTGTTCTTGCCCAAATTGTCTCTCTCTCGTAATTTTTTCCCCTGATCTATTATCCCTACAATAAGTATTAGGCTCTCCATTTGGTTGTCACGGTAATTTCCACATTTAGCAGAAGACCAAATTGGCCGAGGAATGCTTGGTTTTTGTCCATAGCCAACCCTTGCGCTTAACTAGTTATCGTTAATCTTCGGGTTTTCGTTGGCTTGGATCACCAAGTTCCAGAGTCTGTAAGCTTGGCCGGATGATTAATCATCCTTATTTTCAACGTTTCGGGCGCGGTTCTGAAAACTGCCTTCATTACGACATGACATTTTGGTCAAAGTTGAACGGGATTGCTGACTGGCGGTTGTCAGCATCGGAAAAGGTTGGAGAGAGCGAGATAGTGCGAAATCTCAAGCATCATTCTGGACAGCCGCGATTCCTGTTACTTGGTGTGTTTCGTTACTGCACTGATTCGGGTTTTTTTTGGACACGTGATGATCGGGACAATCAGCCATATGCAATGTCGGTTTTTGGTTCGCACAAGAACAATTTGGCGACCATCGATAGTGCGGTTGCGACTTTCCGCGAGAAAGTGCGTACCAATGTCCAACCGCACGAGGCTACTTAATTCAGTCATTCGACAGCTCAATGGAATTGTAATGTATTATACACGGTCGTTATTTGCGTTTTGTCGTAATTCACGATGTGAAACTGTAAGTGCTACCACTGCTTTCTGTCACTTGTGGCTGGGCGATTCCGCGTACTACGGTTGTGCAGAAATTCCGCGCACTTCAAGCACTCATCGGCCAAATAACATCGGATGCCTCATGTATATGGGGTGATCAACTAAAGTACGATAAATTGACCGGGTAGTCACTGTCACCACCACCTCATGACCGGGTGATTGATTGGTTAGGTTCTCTGATAGATACATATTCGACACTTCGTCGAAGTCCACCTCTCAGAGTTAAACGACATCCTGGAGCTGTACTTACTGTACAACAGGTGCCAGAAGCGAGGGATCAATTCACGCTTATACGTCCGAACCGGGGTCAAGAGTTGACAGGAGCAATATGGGTACGGCTAGACAGGTGGTTTTACGAATCAAGTACGCAAGTAGCGGAAGCTACCCAGGGGAACTGTACTCCACAAGGATGAAGAAATCGGAATTTCAGAATATTAGAAGTATTGTCAATGTGAGGGTAAAAATTCAGGTCTAAGATTGCAAGATTACGAGTCCCGATCACACGTTTGATACGGTGAGCCCCCCCCCTCCCTGTCTAGTTCTTTTCCGCGTATCACCTGCCCGTTTCATCATTTAATACGAACAGCAGAAAATGAGTGAAACCGGTAGTTCAGCGGTTAAACTTTATCTATGGAATACCAAAAGTCTGAACCTGGACACTCACTTTAGTGTGTCGTCACTGAGGACGAAGTTTTTTCACATCATAACGGTTGCGTGATTCATACTATTCCGGTCCGTCCTGAGTAGATGTGTGTGTGTGTGTGCCTCTTGCATATATACCGTTGTGGTATGCATCGAGATGCCAATCCGTTGTGGGAATGAATTTCATATAAGCTCAAGGCAGCCAAACAAACTTTCGGTTTTCACTTTCGACCAAACTTTATTCGCCTATTTTGGCGGAAGAAATGTAGAACTTAATTTAATTTAATGGTAAGTTATCGAGGAAGAGAGAATATTGCGTATTAGGCATAAAAACCAATGATTTACAGTAGGCTGTGGAACGTTAGTCAGTGTATGAGCTGTATTACGCATAAATTTGCTAACTGATTTCAATGGGAGGTCCCGCTTCGACACTTCCCTGTTTTGTGCAACGGATCGATTAACATGAAGCCGCACTTCGCATCCGAATTCCACGTCTATACAGCACACAAGTCGAAGTGTGATAATGTAGATCTATATTGCCTACTATGATTTGATCGATTCGCCGGGAACAATATATCAAACGCTCCCTCTAACCTTCGTATTTTCCTTCTGATTGATGTATTTTCGTTAATAATCCGACAAACCCAAAGCTCGCTGCTACGGAAACGAGCAGAATCGGATGCGCACCTATCTCAAACAAGTATGAAAGCAAACAAATTATCTTCGGCTGATATTGTCGACCGAAACCAAAAAGACTACTGTGATCTTCACAGGATCCAATTATCAAAACCCACAATTGTTTGCATATACATAGTCTGATCCTCTTCGAATTTTTGCCGTCATCGATCTATGTCAATTAGTAAGCAAATCCCGCAAAAATTGAGCATTCGTGATGCATACCCTATGCAGTGGGACTGACCTAACCATGCAACAGAACCGTAATCTCACCGAGAATAGCACTAGAACACGGTGCCTTTTGCTGAACGAAGGGCTGTCATCACACCAGAGAGGACAAATGCCTGATGATATCTGTTTCAGAATTTCACAAGGGGACATTTAGCTCGATTCAGCCTCCCTCAGGTCTATAAGGGGTCTAATTAGGCCTGTGTTTGTGGTTTTCATCAGGACACCTAGTTCTTTGTTACTTGTGACAACTGAAACACCGTTACCCGGAATCTTGTCCAATCACTAGCATGGTGAGCCAAAGGAGTTGATAAAATTCATTGTTAATAGCACAACACCCTCGTCTAAAATGAGTGTAGATCATGCGTCTCCTTCAGAAGCCGGGTATTATTGGAGTTAATGCATCTGCGACAACGGGATGGCGTCAATTTATATGATAACTCGGTTGGAGCAGAAGTTGACACATCTAATGTCAATGTCAGCAGTCTGATAATCGCCTGGAATTTCCACCACGTTGGTCTCGGACGATGGCTATCCTAAAGCATCATCATGCACAGAGGTGGTCTGATCGTCGCTTCTATACTCAAATCGGTAGCCTGAAGCCAAAGTAGATGTTACCAAATGCCGAAGTGCTCTTTA